ACAGATTCTTTCATTTTGTGCAAAAACGCGTCGAAAAAAAACGCGTCGAATGAGCCTAATTTCATCGAAATCGGAGGTGAGGACCGTATTCTGAATAATTACCTTATAAATTTATGATTAATTATCCTTTTTCTTTTCTATTATACTATACGTACAACCGGTACAATTAGGTTATATTCATGCTAGAAATGAATCCCATAATTTCCACACGCCACATGTTGCCACACGTTAAGTATAAAATTTCTTGAAAAGTTGGTAATACTGACATACTCTACACGCTCGTACTTAACTTTTTACAGTACCGAGCAGTGTAACACTAGGTTTGTTCGCGTCGCAAGTTCCAAATTAACCCAGAGAGCATTTGGATCACCGGCAAGATGGCGGTTGGAGCAATTGGATTCATATACCCCAATGCTCGGCGACACGAACGGATTAGGACAACTTGGGACAAGCGTCCTGTTGTTCTATAGCTATACGAATAGTTTCACCGATCGTATGCAGGACGTAGGAATCAATTTGGAACCAGCCATTTGCATTATTACCTCTGAAATGGATTTCAGAAATTTTTTGAGAGATTTCCGTTTTGGAATTATTAATGAAATTAATGATAATTTCCTCGAAAATTTTTTACTTTTTGCTTATGATTTTATTGAGGAAGACGACGAAATAGAGAGTGAGTATTAACGAACAGGGTTAGAAAACGTTACTTTGACGTTTATTTACATAATTATTGAAAATATACAATATACATATTTAATTCAGTGTAATATACATATTTAATTCTGTTTGCTTTGAGTATTTTTGTTCCATTCTCTCTAGTAGCTGAAGTTGCCTTTCCAAAATATTATTTCGCTGTCTTTGTAATTCATTGCATGTTCGAAGCTCTATCAACATTTCTGTGCGTGCGTCTTGTCTGGCATTACCTTCTTTTTCAAGCATAGTACAGATTGATTCATTAACCGATTGTATAGTAAGCGCCAATTTACCATCTCGTACCTTTGCTTTTGTCTTTATGAAAGATGAACAATTGCTATTTGTCGTGAATGATTTATTGCTATTCGCTGATAGAGGCGAAAGAGGCGATAGAGGCGAAAGAGGTGAATGTACTTCGACAGAAGACTCTTCTTCATTTATATTCCTATAACAAAAAACATTAACTACTACTTATCTGAAAAAATGCAGATCGAAAAAACATACATCTTAAGGAGATAATTATTATCAAGGATGAAAAGTTACTTTGTTGTTACTTTTATAAAAAATGATTTGGTAATAACTACAATTTTTTATAATGGTGACAGTAACTAATTAAAAGCTAAAGTTGGGAGTCACTTTGGAAAAGTAATTTGTCATTATTATGTGTTATTTATCGAAAAAAACTCATTTCTTCAATAAATAATGCATAATGATAAGTTATTTTTTGAAAGAGATTTTTCCAACTTTAGCTTTTAATTAGTTACCGTTACCATTATAAAATAAATTACAACATTATTACTAGATTATTTATTATCAAAGTAATGGCAAAAATAACTTCCAATCCATAACTATTACTCCCCCAGATGAAGTTTGACTGACTTTTTGCAAAATCTCTTCCTGAGAAACAATTTCTTTGCGGCCAACCACAAAAGGTGGCACTCCACTGTGACTTTTTCCAAAGATGGTTATCATTTCACTGCAAGGACAAGTATATATTCCATTAATTACTCATTAAATACATAGGATACTGTGAAAATAACACAAAAGAAAAATAAAAAGACTCAGTAACTTAATTAACTGTAAATATTGAATTGAAAAATATCACATTTACAATAAAGCCTGTAATATATGATGTTTTTCTGCTAATTGTGTTTCAATAAATTATTAGAAATTCTGCGTTCTGTATAGAACAATTTTAGTAATTTACTAAACGCAAGCAATCCAGTAGAAAAAAATGTATCGTGTGCCACAGCCTTTAGATACAGAAAATAGAAAATGAACTAAAAACTTACTTTTCATATGAAAGAGGTTTCATGCCTTTTCCAGAGCTATTTTTTCCCATAGTCCTTTGAATCTTTGGAATTGCGGAACTTGTTGAAGAACTAGCATTTGGATGTGCCATTTTCTGATCAGATTCTTTTGCTGCAGATTATATACTATAACAAAAAGATCAATAATATTGATATAGTACAGCATTCATTATTATTATACAATTATTATTATATTATATTAATAATAATTATTATTCTTATACAATTATTTAATTACATAATAAAAATTTAACTAAAGTACTATGAGGGTAAAGCTGGTTCTACAATGAGGTAGTCGATAGTCCTAAGTCTTATTAGTGAATCGATGGAATTGGCAAACAGCCAACTTGTACGACGACTACCGATTTTCTTAAGACTGACTAAAATCGACTTTATTCCTTACCATTAATCGAGCTAAACGACTCGCTGTACAATTAACTAGTGCAAAAAATCATGATCATCTGTTTAGGTTAAAACTGGTTAAGGCTTAAGATTTCCGACTACTGACTCATTGTAGAATCAGTATTATTATAGTTCAAGAATTTTGTCTTCCTCACCGATTTTGAAATTAAGCTGCGTTTTTCACCAAACGTAAGAAAAAAAGCGTTGCTTTTTTTGCTTCATTCTCGTTAAAGTTACATCATAGAACCATAAATACTCTCAACACTACACATTCTCAATCATTACGCATGCGTGCGTAACATACCCCAACCGCACCACCTTGGTGAGGCAAATGGAGCGTGCTCTTAATTGATCCATGGAGTATGTTCTAACGCGACGCAAACATCTAGTCGCCACATTGGTTCCGGTGACGCGAACGTATTGGAGCGCGTTGGAATGAAAAGGAGCATATTGGAGCGTGCGACGCGAACAAACCTCTAGTGTACGACACAGTGTTACACTGTGTCATCTGTGTACGTTGTTAGAAAACACCCATTATATGTAAAGCGGAGTCTACAATAGAAGTCGTAGCAGTCGTAGAGGCTTAAGTCGTAGAAAATTAACCAATCACAGTAGAATATGGCCCGTTTTTACCACTTTTGCCTTAATATCCAGTTTAGTCAAACTTTCATTAAAACGGGTGGAACCCAGTTGGACACGGCTTAATTGGATACGAGCCACTCACAGCGCTTGAGATTACAAAGCTCCTAAGCACCAGTCGCTGTGATTGGTGGTGTCCAATCGAGCCGTGGTTAATCGGGATCACCCCCATTAAAACTAAACCTCGATTTGGCGCTGATTGGTTTCTACCACCGTTACAATGCAAACGTTTAGCTAAAATTATAATCTATGTGTCATAACTTAAAGAAATTACTAAATCTCAGTCGTTGATTGGTCCAATATTGGTTCTAACAGTATTGTACGGCAACGTGCAGCATCGTGTTATGTGGGTGGCACCCAATTGGACACGAGCCACTCACAGCGCTTGAGACTACAAAGCTCCTAAGCATCGGCCGTTGTGATTGGTGGTGTCCAATCGAGACGTGGTCAATCGGGATCACCCCATGTTATGTGAATACTCGTGTAAGGAACATAACGTTACAAATTAAATTAAAAATGAACGTAGAAGACATAATAAGTAATAAACAACGTAAATGTGCTGCGAATTTTCGGAGGCCGAGAAAGTTATTTTAATAGATTTAGCAACTCTCTCATTATAAAGATGTGATAGAAAATAAAAGATCTGATATGATAACCTGTAAAAAGAAGGACAAATATTGGAAAGTAATAAAATAAAAGTTTAATAGTACGTCTTGTACTGAATTTCGAAATTCATCAATTACTCCATAGGGGATACTGCTTTATTTGTTAAAAAAGAATTATTTGTATTAATTTGAAATTTTAAATTTATATTTGTACTTGTAAATATTCGTAAAATAATTTCAGAAAAAAATTTATTTATAAATTTTTATTTATTATTTATTATTGTTATTATCTTTATTTTTATTTTTATTTATTATTTTCTATTTATAAATTTATTTTATAATTTTTTCATTTACTTGTCAGTCCCGAATTCTAATTCATTTCTAATATTTTCTAAAACTTCTAACACTGATGCTTTACTAAATCGAAATCGCATTTTAAACTAATTTATAAATTTATTTTATAATTTTTTCATTTACTTGTCAGTCCCGAATTCTAATTCATTTCTAATATTTTCTAAAACTTCTAACACTGGTGCTTTACTAAATCGAAATTGCATTTTAAACTCTATATCGTTCCTCAAAATAATTAATACGTTGTTTAAATCTTCTTTTTCTTCTATTAAATTGTTCATTAATAATATCTCGTCATCGGAAGATGACAGTACGAAGTTATATGCCATGTTTGACACTAGTAACATTTCTTAACCGCAGTTCAACTGCCTCTATGGCCAAAATTGGCCGTTCAATTTAAACTCAGTTTATATACGTTTAAGCTAAAGAAAAAAGTTGGTAGAAACTAATATTTTGCTAAATTTTGGTTAATCAAATGTCACTAGGGATTAATTCTTTAAACTGCGTTGATAGAAACGGGCCTATGAGAAGAATAATCGACTATGATTGGTCAATTTACTACGACTTAAGATCCTACGACTGCTACGACTTCTATTGTAGGCCCCGCATAATAAAGCCTCGTCTACAATAGTTGCACAGGTTGTGTCGGATGTCGCGAGTAGTAGCATCGCAGGAAAATTTGTCGCATGCCACAAGAGTGTCGCTAAATGAGCGTCTACAATAGTCATAATGATTGTTTGCACGCAATTCGATGACAAATTCTAAACGTCAACTTGCTGTGCTGTGGTTGGCTGAGCTCATGCGACATGCCTGTCGCAGTCGCAGAAAGTTGAAGTTGGCTCAACTCTGTACGACAAGAGCTTTTGCTACTACGACAATCATGCGACTATGGGTGCGTTCACTTTTTACGCTCACGCGCATTAAGCACTCACGCTTATAAGCGTTATTTTTAACCGTTTATTTTTGTTTCGCTGTGCTGTAAATGCTTTTGTGACGTCAATCAAATTCGTTTACTTTTGGTTTTGTTAGCGATTCAATAATAAATAAACAACAATTAATACCTATATTATTTGGACAAATGTCAACACTTTTATCAATTGACGATGAAGAGGATCATGATTCTCATATTGAAAATACCGAAATGTGCATAATTTTATATAAACACTTAAATAAAAGAAATATACCTCGTTTAGAAGGTTATGTAGAAAATATGATATCACGTTATAATGATACAGAGTTTAAATCACATTTTAGGTAAGTATAAGCGATATATTTTGTGTATAAATATTGTAAGTTTTAAATAATTTTCAATAATAAGAAAAATTTATATGTTTATTATATAGTGCAAGTCAATAAAATTATTGGTTTAAATATTTCTGAAAAATGCATTATTCTAAAAATATGTTTAAAAAAATAATAAACATAATGCTTTTCTTCCGAGATATTTGAGATAATAATTTCTAATGATTTATTATATATATGTATATATTATTATAACAGGGAACGGAAGTAACTCGTTACTTGTAACGAAGTTACAGTTATAAGTTACTTTTTTGGTAACTTTACTAGTAACTGCGTTACTTTTTTTCTTTGGTAACTGTAACGGTAACGAAGTTACATTTTTTTGGTAACGGTAACGAATTTTACAGTTACGTTTATCGTTACTTTGCACATGATTGGACACGATACGACA